ATGATGATGATGATGATGATGATGATGATGATGATGATGATGATGATGATGATGATGATGATGATGATGATGTTCGGGCCGTTGCCTGCTGTTCTGATCACGCAAGTCCGCTAGTAGTTATTGGCCCGCTGTTCCATCAAAGCGTATGGTAGCTTAAAACAGTCCGTAACCGGCTAAACTAAGGCTTCTACGCCCGCTTACGGAAAAACTTATGCAGATGTTTCTGAATATTCCTGATGGAATGAAAAGCGCGTGGCCAATCAAAGCGTAACCGTAACCAGTCAATGACATCGACATGTAGTACGCGTGATGCGGATTGATTCAGGCGGCCCGGCTCCGGATGGGATCAACAACGAACGGTATGGAGTTTGCTGTCAATTTGCACCTCTAGTGATAGGAGGTGTTTCAAAATTTTTATGGGGTTTTTCTCCCTTTAGGTTATCGTGGGGAAAGCGTTCCGTATGACACAAGCGGTTCTTTGAAGGAGATGCTTCATCGTGGTACTAGTTATTCTTTGTATTTATTACTTGATAGGAATATTAATACTATGTTCGTTCGTCCCAAACATAAACACGGTCATGCATGAAATATCTATTAATTCAGAGTTGCTAGCTACTACTGGCAACACAGCAAAGCCGCACACATTAGACCTATGTTTCCTGCTGCACTTATCTGTTGGTCAATGTCTGTGGATTTTTTCAAATCAGTGCTCAGTGTGCGAAAGATTTATCTCCATTTGTTCGCTTCTGTCCTCCGCACCACCTTCCTCACAGCCAGTTCATATCTTGTAACCAATCAAACTGTTTGGAAAAAAACATGCAATCTAAGCTGTACCACTGTCCAGTGAAACAGCGATTTGAGCACTTGTGTATGCTTATGTCACTCTAGTTGTTGGTCAAGGCAGTCTGGATGCTTAGACTAGTAACTCTTGTGAACACAGAGCTAGGCTGAACAAGTGGGGAGCGTCAACTGTCTAATTGTCTTCGACCTGTTTTGTAGAATGTGATACGCACTTTCGAATGCTTTGTCTCTGTCCACTGCATGACCTCTTTGAAGTCAATAATTGGTTCCGACAATTTACAGTCTATGATGTGATTCGATAGACCTTTTTTGATCCTCCTGGATAGGTCCCTTATCGAGTGGCCCGCATAATCTGCGGAAAACCCAAACATAAGAATAAGTCACCAAACTAATTATACGGGGCTGTTGATGATATTCAGGTTCTCAACACACAAGGTCCTGTTGGGAGCGCTTTTAAGGGTATGTATTTACAAGGGGTATCTCTTCAAGCCCAACCTCATGAACAACTATTACTACGGTGCTAGGTGACACTTCACTTTCGGTAGAAATGAGCTCATCCAGGTCGCATTTTTAGCGGTGTTAGCCATTTCCGCTATTCTATTTTCCGGCGTAGCTGCACTGCAGACTCTCTGAACATAAAGGAGCGAAATTAGCATAGGGTCTTTACTCTCATTGGGTGATTTCAAACTCCGAAAGTTTGTATACTGTCCAGCCCGTGTGGCTTTTCAACAAACTGCCCATTGCAACATGTCTGCACTCGCATCTAGGCGAAGTAAAAATCTTGTTCTGATGCGAATAACCTGGTTACTACTGGTTGCTACTATATATATATATATATATATATCGCCCTCGTATCGGATTTAAAGTTGAAGGCTGTGGAAGTTTTCATCTCGATACTTTCTTATTCACAGAAGTCTCAGCCCCAAAGTAAACCCAGGTCAGTCAGAAAGGTATCCACCTGGATGTTTAGTGAAACTGTGACCTCAAAGCAGCATTACTGGCACACAGTTTACTCCCCTGAAACCATCTGGGGCTGTCATTTCTAGACTATGCGGATTGCTTAAATTGCATAGTTAGGGGTGGCCTCCAAGAGTGATCTTCGATATAAACAACTCTTCGTATCATTCCGAAACCTGAGCATTGTAATCAATCCCCAGACAGACGCAGGATGCACATACGGACTTTTTACGCATGCACAGGTGTATGTATGTGTGCGTGATTGAGCGTGTCACCTTCATAAGACCGCTGTCGCCTCCATTACTGAACTGGACGTCCGCTCGCGCTCTGCCTACTGGGTTTAAAAATTCGAGTAAGTTGGCTGATGAGAACAATAATCGTGATCCTGAATTAGTGGGCTTGCTTACGGGTCCATGCTTAAAACCTGCTATTCTTCGTTGTTTCAGTTCATTTCTTGCTGAAAAAGAGAGACATCACTATTTCTCTCTCGGTATTTGGTTTGTTCTTACAAACACGGAGCGTAGCGCTTGATTCATTTCGTCTGTTACTCACTCTGTCGGTAACCATCGGACCGTTGGAACCTCCATACATGGCCTTACATATATTTTCTAACTGGCCAGCCCGGAATTCTGAGTGGAAGATGCGGCCCAAAAGGTACTGGAATTTATCAGCACGTGGATGCAGCTCACCATGAAGTCATCAAGCTCAGATAGATTGGTTTACGCCGCAACAGATGCCGGTGATTGGGATATGGGAACAACTGTGAGGCGGAGTGATGGTGTCATCAAGTATACTAGTCACGTCTCAATTAATGCTTAAAATATCTGTTAATCATATGAGCCTCTAGAAAACGCAGTCTGCACGTGTCCTTTATGTCGAACTGACCAGAAGCTCCTCCAATGCACCAGTGGCTCTCACCGAAGTCTCACATACTGAGCGCTCCGGCTGCGGAACTACAATTTCACGCTCCAGTTCCTATCAGAAAGCAGGGGAAAACAGAACAACAAGGATCATTTCGAGAAGAATCCTAAAAGCTTTGTATTAAAAGGGACCGTGGATGACTTGGCGAACAGAAAAATTACTGAAGACATGAGGAGCATTACAATAATCGCATCCTGACAATAATGCACTGGTTGTTGAACTATCAAGACGCATTTCTCTCGGGAACAATCGATGACACCTGGGAGCTCACTCATATTCTATGGTAGGGGATATCACATGTGCATCTAGTTTAGGACGACGCCCCCATCATGTTGTGTGGATAACCCGCTCGAACATCTTCAACGTTATATGAACGTAATACACTACTCTCAGGTTGCTGAATACTCTTCGACAGTCTATGACCAGTTTCGCCCTTCTTGGGACTCATTAGGTAGGCGCGATCTCCGGGTTTCCATCAACATTATGTTTTATTTGAATCCAATTTATACTCACCTGCATACCAATTATGTTTTCATAGAAGAATCACCCGAAACCCAGCTGAATGCCTCATCTTTGTCGGTACGCAAACGGATGTACTTGCCAAATTTTGTGCAATCTAGGTTCGACATAACATTGACGGAACCTAGGAGACTGCGCCTACGTGGTGAGCCCTGGTTGTGGGTTGTCGAAGAGCTTTCAGCAACCTTATGAGTAGTACGCTAAGTCCATACAATGTATTGCGATATCTCGGATACCGTACCAGCTGAAACATGAGGTATTCTCATACAGCACATTCAGTTGCTAAAGAGCACCGTAAACGAGAGATTCGGTTGGGTTCCTGGTGAGTCAAAACCAAATCGGTATGCAGATAAGCAAATCTGGAACTCTACTTTTTATGCCGCCTAAAAACATCCTGTGAACCTCAATATTTTTATTTGTTTTTGTCGTTCTCGTGAGCAACTTGATCCAGTGGGATTTTCCGTGATTTCGTTCCCATGTACAGACTGGTCCTGGAAATCGCTTTCGCCGTTCAACTCGTTCACACTGTCACCCACTCTCGTGCAGACCTTAGCCAATGTTTCGAAAATCCAAAGCGACAGTCCGCTGACCGTTACCCATTCTAGATCGCACCTGGATACCTCTGCGACGAAAACCATTGCAGACACGTTCTCCCCACAACCGGTTCAGTTCATTCCAGCTGGTGGATCAGGTACACAGGTGTTTCGTGTTTTGTTTGAATCACTAAGTTTGAAATTGATGGTACACACACTGATGAGGGATTTACTAACCGTATGTTTAACCCGATAGCTTTTTCAGCCTTCTAGGGTCGTCCATTTGGCACTTCTTGGCTTATACCAGTCAACCCTTGAGACTCTTTTGGACCAGTTGGTCTTGTAGCCTTTGTGGATGTGAATCACCCAGCAACTTAGACCAATATTATTTAGCGCTTGTTAGACTATCCGAATTCGGTGACTATTAATCAAGTATTTCCTTACACAACTATTTCCTTGCCTAAAGAACGTTCAGAAAACGTACAAAGTTTTGAATCAGTCTATTACATCTCGACCCAAAAGACAATCTAGTGTGGGCTTTGAACCTCTGGTGGACATTGTGAGCATTCAATAATATAGCTTCCAAAAATGCATGATTGATGGCACGTTTCAACCGGAGTGGATCATATCATGAGATCACGTGGACCTCCGATTGATGGCTAGAGCTTCAGGGCACAACACTAAATAGCCACAGACCGCACTTATAGGTCAGAATATTTCTTTTCTCCGCAAGTTCTTTACTTGAATTATTCTTCGTGAGGTTGAGCCAGATTCTTGGATATTTCAATCACAAGTGCTAGACCGTGTTGTTCGGTAGCGAGTCTGTGGTAAGCTTCAATCCACTGTTGGCTCCAGTAGCGTGGACCGTGGACACCATGCCAGACATCCAATATCATGCCTAAGAATGATAATCTATGTTCTGCATCAGCTGTAAACCGTGTAGCTTTTTAGCCCACCATGATGATTTGCCAACCGTACCACTAGCTGAGAGGAAATACTGCCATTCTCGCTTTCTTCTGCGAAGAAAGTGACCGGATGGTCGTAGCCCACTCCACGCAATTCTCATATTCACTCAACTCAACCGTTTTCCGTAGAGAGGCTCATTTGCGCTAAATTTAGTCCCTGCACTTTCACTTTACTGGGACGTTGTTCCTCCATAGTTGTGTGGAAATTAAACTGTCGTGTTTCTGTTCGTGATGACGGCCATAATCATGATAGTGGTGACATTTCATGTTTACGTTATCCAAATTTTCGTGCTCCAGTGTCTGTCTGATGACCATTGACCTTACTTTGAGCTATGTGGTGATGTCTGATATACGCTGCTTATAGCAAGGTTCACGTACACTTTGTTTTTCGCTGCATTATATCCACACTGCAATAAATGAAAGTTGCAGATTAGTGTGACTCACGAGTAAATTGCGACCAATACGTACTACTTGTAAGTAGCTTGTTTGACACTGAAATAAAATACCTTACCTGCGTTGCCCCTGCGCATACTGTCAAGTAAGAAGGATACATAATAGAGACGACTGACCGCAATCATGCTGAGTTGTCTTCTCTTGTTCCTCAATCTCAGTAAAGAGAATGACTTTTTCATCAGTCTTATTCGATTTGTCTTGTAGGTTTTAAGGTGCTCAGCCTTATTCAGCGAAAAGCCCACCTGTATGTGCATCCGACGAGAACGCGAAGATGGGATGTTTGCGCCGCCCAAGCTGTCCTAGAATCTACCGGTGGTCGTATGACCGGTTTGGACACCTCGAGTTTGACTTACGATGCAAACTCGCCGCACGAGATTGATGCAGCTACGGGTTTGTTTGCTGCTGCTTCTGTGGAGCTGCACGATCGATGGAAGGAGAAGCTATCGAAGCTGAGGTCGGAACTCCATAGTCACTAATAAGCTGCTGTGTGTCGTCTACTTCAACCGGTATTTTTCCTTGTCTCATTCTTTTCTACCATGACCATCTTTCTTTTCACAGCTGTATTTATCAGACACAATTTTACTCTTGTTTTCCAGTTTGTCATTCTGTTTTTTCTCATCACAGCCTGCCATCGTAGCTGAATTTAAGATGTCTTGAAATACATTTTTATCTGTGTTTATTTTTCAGGTGCATGTCTGGTGTGATTTTTCGAATTGCTCAGTCGCAGCACGGCTACTATTCGACTTGAAGCAGGCATAGGGGCTAAGGTACTTCTGGAGTGTCCTAGCCTAGAGGGGAGCACATGAACCGCGGACCTTTCGGTCAGAAGTTCATGCCTTAACTATTCAGCTACCTCGCTGTTTTGGCAATTGTAACAGACTATCTTGATGTGATCTTCAGGAACATCAATCATTCCGCAAGTCATTTGTAACTAATTGCCAATCTAATCGGATCTAATCGGAAGTGGATATGTTGCGTTTAACACGTGATGCTATCCTAAATGACTGTCACGTGAAGACAAAGAAGGAATAGGTCAGACAAAAGAGAGGCGACCAATATTTATCTCATTGGTTGAATGAGCTCTCAGGAGAACACTGGTGCAACTCACGTCATGGGGTGACGGATTTTTTTCATGTGGCAAAAGTGACGTACTCATCTGGTGTGAAGGCACGATAGTCTTCAAAAGAAAACCCGACAGCCATGACGTTTCCTAAATCTTCCGGGTTAAAACGCGTTGTTGGACTGATTTGGATAGACTGATGGCAACTCTTTTATCGTTGTTCACTTCCCATGCTTAGCACTGCCGCTCCGCCTGTGCAATCTTAAACCAGCCTTTGGCAACGATTGATCCATTTTTATGTGTCAGTCATGTAGCACAACTGTGTTGGCGATTACATTATACTCTGCATCATGATGACAGCCCGATCCGAAAATACACTGGCTGTAGGCTCCACTCCAACTCTGGTAGAACGAAACGTTATGACGTAGCATAAAAGCAGGACTAATCAGCCACGTTATGTGCACTCCCAGCCCACTGATATACAACAGCCTCATATCTCGGTTGCTCTGTGATCAGGACTTTTGACTGAACAAGACGTTGAGTCATGGGGATTGCACTGGCAAGAGCAGTTTCGGCAAATTAACATTCATCATGCTCGTACAGTACCTGTGATTGAGAATTACCAGCGTGTACTTTCAAATGTGATTGGTGTATTACCGTCACATTAAATCACAGGTTCCGTTGGTCATCCCATATGGAGCAACGTGAGATTTCTCACACTTTTTCATTGCTTTACATCCCGTATGTAGAAGCTCGGCTCGAGATGGCTCAAGTGGTTAGAGCGCGAATTTACTGACCGGAAGGTCCGTGGTTCGAACCCGACCTCCGCCACTCGACTTCTCCTGTCTAGGCTTGGGCAACCTGACAGTATCCCAGCCCTCGTGCTTCCTTCGGGTGGCATGGCAGCTAGGCACCGAAAGGGCGGTACAGCTGAACGATTTATTTTTTTTTTATATAGAAGCTCGACCTCTCGGTTTCGGCGCATACTACAGTAGCCTACTTTCCTGCCCACTTAACCTTCTCCAGGAAATCGAACCAGGGAAAAGCGAGTAAAGCCAGGTACCATCTTTCCTGACAAAACATTGATGGTGGAATCCTCTCACCCGCCCCCGGGGTACGATACCACCTCCTTGTAGCACTCTTCTCGACAATGACGGCCTCTGATGTGGCTCGTGTGTACAACTTGGTTGTTGCGTCGCGCCGACTATTGAAGCAAACACTCCTTTGTACTAACCGAAGCGTTTCTGCTTATTACAGATTGATAATAAAAAGGCAAGGTGCTCAGCACTAGTACATGTAATAAGATGGTCCAATACACTGACTGGTGCGATGTCACACGTGTCTGGTGTACTGTGGGCCTTTAACAAATAATCCCCCCAGGTCTTTGCGATTAGCTGCTATCAGCTGGTGCAACTGGAGCACTGAAGATTCGAAGATTGTTCTACGAAGATTCTGGACCCCCTAAAGAATGCTCCCTGGCATTATTTGACGCAGACTGGTTGATTGCCGGGGGAGGGAATTAGTCCGATTTTTACCATGGCCGACTATTCCTGCTGAAATGGGTGCTTGAAAAGCGCCTCTTTCAAACGCGAAATGAAGATCGTCCTCCTCAGTCTGAAAGCTATTGTTTGCTCTGTCGATCATCAGGAACTATTGCATCGTATACCGATCGGTTGTGTACCTTCCTTTTTTGTCTCTTAGGAAGACTCTATATGTCAGATTCTGTTTGCGTATACGGTGAGTTTTCACCTGGGTTCACTACGTCAACTGCTGCTCCTCACCGTTCTTTTTTTATTATTTTATTACTATGCCGCTTGAAACTTACTCACTTGTCCCTGACACTGTGGGGTCGAAATGCCTGTGAGACGTTCCCTAATATACAGGCGATATAGCTCTCGTGGAGTGAGGTCTTTAGAGCTACAAGCCATTTTAAATAACGAAAATAACTATTCCTCAGCTTGGTATTCGCTTCATACGCGGAAAATATGTGAAGTGCTGCAACGAGACTAGTTTGGAGTGAACCTCTTGTTCGTGGTTTCAGATCAGCTAATCAAGGTGGTAGATAAATTTAGCTTGGCATTTGTATGGGTCCCGGACGGGAAGTTGCAGACGATATCACTATTCGAATCTGGGAGAACAGGCCAGTTTTTTCCACTCTATGGTAATAATAGAAATCGTTCAGCTGTAACACCCTTTCAGTGCCTAACTGCCATGCCACCAGAAAAAAACCGATGGCTGGGATATTACCAGGTTGCCCAAGCCTAGGCAAGGGAAGTCGAGATGCAGAGGTTGTGTTCGAATCAAGGACTTTGCGGTCGGTAAAGTCGCGCTCTAACCACAGAGCCACCCTGCTGGTACCCATTGCGACGTCGGTTTGCTCGCCAAGGGAAAAGTATACACGCAGCAATACTATCCATTCTGTTCTGTGGATCAGAAGATATGTGAAACTTTCTGGCCTTCACCATTAGCTTCTCCGAAGCCTCATCCGGATCTACTGAGATCGTTGGGTGATGGTTTTAGAACGAAAGGACTCGTAATTTTGGGGCTAACCGAGCTCCATAGGTCGCGTCAGAGGATCGTCCGTTTCCCAGAGCTTTTTTGATCGACTTTTTGCCGAATGGAGACAATCAGCATGTGGACAGTCTATGCCCCGGTACTGCAGGAGGGAGGTCATAGCGAGTTAACTCAGACCTATGGACAAATGCTGCCTCCTTGCATGGGGATCCTGGACTCGATGCACCAGTGGTAAGTGACATCGACACAGCCCACTTATGCACCTAGTGGGCTTCTGTTCACAGGTTATTGATTTACTCGTAGCTACTCAGTTTCTGTTGTAGCTACTCAGTTTTCTGTTTCATCGGGCAACCAAAATGGTTAGACCATGGTTTCCATTGCTTCACGATACCCCCTTTGTCTCATTTTTTAGTTATCGTAACTGTAGCACCTGGAACCAGTGTTTCTTGATACGTAGTCAACCAAATGGAACTCATTCCATCGCTCCTCCGCTGATCACTGTACTCAAGCTCGTCATATCGCCTCGCTCTGCCTTTCCATTTCAGATATACTGCGCTAGGCGAAATCTAGCCACTTGCGTTATCGTGCTTGAAAACGGGATCCCCCGGTCCCTAGGGCACTATTACGAATCTCGCTTAGTTTTTCAAAAGCCTTATTTGGTTCCGTTACTGAGCTGAGTTGATGTCGGCTTTCCCGAGCCTTTACCATTTTTCGGAAACCTTTTTAGCCATCGGATTGTCATCCGAGTGCTCAGAACTTTCGTACACCTGTTCCTCTGTTTCCACCTTATCAGTAGCTCGTTTATTTTTATCTCACCGTCCGCACTGTGCTGGTCGGTGTCACAACCTGTCCGCAAATGTTTTGGGAACAATATTTCTGAGCGCTTGGGTGCATTTGACCACGAATTGCGATCAGCTGGAGTGATTGGCTGGGTACACATGTGTGTTCAACGTACGTTGTCAGATCACGGCTTCGGGATAGAAAAGTACCGTATTTCTGTTCTTTTCAAGGCTCTCCTGATGACCTTTCCGTGCAACATTTAACTGCATATGTCAGGCTCATTCTCTACGGAATTCGGCAGCAGCAGATTGCAGAATTTTTGTAAATAGTATGCAGTGCGGTGTTAATTCGTTACTTTGAGTAAAATGGACAACTTACTAGGCTAACGTGGATGTTATGAGTGGAGTATCCGTGCATAGGCACAGTATGTTGGTGTATGCGTGAAACGGCCTTGCTGAGTCAGTTAAAAATGTTTGAAGACAGTCAGCTGTGTTCATGATTGTATTTCGAAAAGAACGAATAGAAGTACTCTGTGCATTCCCGGCAAATTGCCAAGCGTTTTCAATGGCCATATTCGGCTCAGAACTTCTATTAGATGTTGCAGTGATCGCTACTGGATAGTCCTGAAGGATTAATTTGTTCCTGTTTTCACTCGGGCACAACCCGTGTCGAAATTCCGCAGTACTCAAGGCAGCGTGTAATTTTGTCGGCTATTATGGTCTGAATTTGAATACTGACGGCAAAGCTGTTCCATGTCCAGAACTGATCCAGCCTCTCACATGTCGATTTTGAGGATATGTCCCATTGTTTCTTGGTCTACCACAACGGATTTGAGGTATCCTTGGACCAGAACTATTGCCCTTAGATATTGTCTATCTGTGCGAGTAGTTCACTTGCAACACTAATAACCCGTCAATCTGCTCAACTCATCATCAACAGGAATAAAAGGCAGTATTAGAATTTGCAACTGAAGGGAGTTGATGATTCGCGAAGACAACTCCCGTCGTACCGTTAATGATGCAATGCGATCTGTTCACTCCCAGTTGATCTACTCTGTTGTGGGGGGGGGAGGCGATGCGGAACTTGCAACGATTTGCAAGACGGTACGAGTAGCCAGTAACTGTCCGGTTTAAAGCCTGCTGGTCAGTCATCTTGGTATTTCGTAGCATACAATCAGAGGTCAACGCATGCCAAGGTCATTCAGTCGGCAGTCTTCATTCATACTGGTCAGCAATACGGATAAACAATCGGGATACTTCGAAAAAACAAAGACTTCCTGCTCTTTCTCATCTCAAATTGGCTTTTCAGACATTTCCAGCATTTTGGGACTAGGTCAGTTGGATTCCGCATGCCCACTAAAACATGCATAGAAACATCGTACAGCCCCACATGTCTCTTCCACAGAATGTCTGAATAAGTCGTGCATTCCCAAGTATCAACTCGCCCTCCATCATTCACCGTTATATTTCGAATTGCCGGATCAGTGTTCATAGCTGAATATTCGCGTTCATTTTGCCTTACGTCGTTGGTAAAAATCACCGGAGTAAAGAATTAACAATTCACGTAATTGGTGTAGCCCGTCGCAGAGAAATTTTTTTGGGTTTACAGGCTGAGTGTATTATGTTCCTCAAAAATGCGTTTTTATTCAGTTATTTGTACCCAAAATTACCTTTCAGCCCCCTGCATTCCGGGAACAATTCGTCTATATTCTTTTGTCGGGTTCCCCATGAGCAACAGCCTTCTCCAGTACATTGTCGTACGATGTGACCTGACTACAGTATATAGATGGCCCCTTGGAGCCGTCGTTGCCCAGGGATGTCATGCGGCCACTGCTTCTATTCATGCCTTCCGAACACATCCTCAGACCATTGCCTACTTGGAAAACCTCGACAGGATGCACAAGGTTGTGCTTGGCATTGAGAATGAACAGCAATTGAAATGTTTAGCTGAGAAGTTGACTGAGAATAAGGTTGACCATTACTTATGGACAGAACAACCAGAAAATGTTTGCACAGCCCTGGCCACCCGTCCTTATCTGAAATCTGACATTCAGTCATTCTTCAAAGGCCTGAAACTACTATCTTGATATCGTTGTGGGAATAAACTGTCTGCACCTGACTTCTTGTGCTTATTTCTATCCCCAGTTTACTGTACAGTAGAGTATTGTGACAGTAGTGTGTCCCTTGTAAGCTGTGCGCAAAACCTCGAACGGTTAGAAAGCTTTCGACTTGAGGATATGAGAAAGTTTCTTGTTCCAAAAACACCGAAAAGTGTGATAATGTCACAATTTTTCTTCATGCATTTGATATCTGAGACCATTACTTTAACACAAAAAGACTGATGTTGAATAGTTCTTACAAGTAGCGATGAAAAATGATCGAAGTACCGGTTGAAAGTAAGCAGTCTCGTCTGGCCAGCTTCTCAATTTTTTTTATCCTGACCACATCAATCTCACTGCCACTCGGTTTCCAGTTGGCACGCGCATTTCTATTCCGATGATTCATGCTCTCCAATGGGTTCGTTTGAGTCTGGGAAGAATGTATGCACAAGCCAACAAATCCAACGTACTCTGAAGTAGTACATGTTTCGATTTATCAAGAATAGTAGCATTTGGGTCACTTCATTCAAAACCAATTAGGCCGATCGTCAAAGCAAGGCGACTGTTACGAGCAATCGTAATGAATGAGTTTTCAGTATTAGGTGACCAAAATATCCCTGGTCCGTAAACCCGTGTTAGCTGCTTCGAGTGTATCAGGAACAAGTTTGTGATTTGTTTGGACGAAGAATCATCACTCTATGGTACAACCGTTCACCTCTCGTTCTGGTTTGTCGGCAAGTTGATTGAGTGGCGAAGATGACTGCCACCTGCAAAATGCAAAATCGATCAGATAGTCAGCAGCCAGTAAGAAGGCATTAACCCTTTCGAATAGAGTGGTCGGCTTATTCCGGCTGTGTATTAATAGTCCGCTACAATCGTCCATGAAGTTCGACAGATCATTTTTTGATCTTCAGAACCATAGACAACTAGGACGGAATTAGAATTTTGGTACCCATGTGAGAGTTAGACATTGCAGTAGGTTTCCTTGAAGGAAGACAATAACAGATCTTCTGTGATGTAATAGGACCTTCCGGTGTCTGACTTTCACCCCCTAGCAAGTGTGGTTAGCCGGAAAAAGACAAAATTAGCCTGGATCACGCCGGTGTCGTCGGATGTCACCGTTAACAGGTGGTGGTGGGTTCCACCTCATACCATTATGACCATTATTATTACTACCAATATTATTATTACCATCATTATTATTACTATTATTATTATTATTACCATTAGCAGAAAAAGAGAGCACACCAGTGCCTGACCTATTATTATTATTATCATTATCATAAAAAGAGAACGCGAAGCCCCATATGAGTTACTTCACACACCAGTGCCTGAAAAATTGGTGTGGATGTCAGAATAATATAGTGTTTCGGTTTCGATTAAAGTATACTGTGCACCTGTTCATCTTCCGATGAGGATGCTTTCTATTTCAAGACGGAAGAGGTATAGTACCCCTACGAAAAAATAAACAGACACTTATCCATCCCTGAGGCGCCACCTTCAAGTCTTTCATGGTTACAGTTGTGGCCTGATGAGACTGCTGATGTAGCTGGCTAACCATACTGTGATTATTCAAACGAAGAATTTGACAAAGACTTCTAAGTGATGACGCGTGAAAACTGAAGTTAAAAAGTGCGGACTAGATAGCATGAACAGTGTCAGTGACTAAGTCATGGTACACTCACACAACTGGAAGTGGTTGCGTTCAGATGCCATGAGTATAACCAGTGACGTAACAATCCAAATACTGCCCACGGCAAGCAGTGATACGTTTCTCGTCAAGCGATGACTTGGACAAACGCAAAGCATCACTATATAATATCAACCAGGTCACCCATACGTGAGCAAATTTAGAATTTTCATCTTGGATTTCGTTTTTATCTTGCAAGTAATGTATTGGTTGTCGCAGAAACAACCTTAGTATTAAGGTTAGCAAATAAATTATCTGGCTCTTGGACTCCTGAGAAACTTTTGCATTCAATACGTATAAGTTGAGAAATCACCAATGTAAAACATGAACTTGCCTGAGCAGCATCAGTGACCTAAAGTACATTCCCATTTAGGCACCTTCGAAATTTCCTCCGTTACCACCAGAAAGATCCATAAAAACTGGCCCAGTTGACCATTACTTTTTTCAGATGTTATGTTCCATCTCAGGTAGCAGAACGTGTATGTGGGTAGCAGAATAATAGCTTAAAATCGAGCATCAAGAGGGAGCGTTTTACTTCTTAAGGCAGTGTCGTGCAGAACGTCATTGTGTACAATGTGACCATCGAGCTGTCATCGAGCCTGATCATTTGCTAGCAAAACTTTCTCAACCAATCTTGCAAATATTGTGGATGCACAACTGATGTGGTTGCAGCGCTCCGTAGTATTACATTCACATAGGCTTTTAATGAGTTTCTGGTAAATCTAGATGTAGTGGCTTGACCAATTAGCAGTATCATTGTAATTTCACTGGCCCATTCATGATTTTTGTGGCACATTGGGCATTATTCTTTACATTCCATTGGTTTGTTGAACAGCTTTTCTTTAGTAGGTTTCATCGATTTTCTCAATAGTCATTTAGAATATATGTTGCGTTGTGATCTGTCTCAACGATATTTTATTGGTTGTTCTGGTACATACTGCTATAAATTTTTCATCCAGTGTTTTGATTGACCCATTGCTAGCTTGCACTGCTACTTGGTATGAATTTCGGGAGTTTGGTTGGCGATTTGTGCTCTTCTGGTATCTTTTTAAGGGCGACTTGTTTTTTATCTCGGTCGTCCAACCTGACGTCTTTTTTCGCCCTTATATCTTTCTGATTTATTGGTGTGACATATTCTGGTCTCATCAATTTACCTAAAAGATCTGAGCTCCCCTCCACCTTATGCAATTTCCTCTAGTTTTATTGTGCAGGGCTGAGCTCTGTACCTATGGAATTTGCCCGTCCTCAGTATCTTGTGGACATGGTCGTTTTCGGTGTCTTCGCTGGAGTTCACGACTCCCGTAAGTTCATGTTGTTTCAATGCTTTTGTTCACTCCGCCGGAATAACACCGTTTTACTAAAACGTCTTTTCCCTTGTAGTGATCTGGCTACACAGAAATCTACTTTATCAGAAATGTGTGGCAAAGATATATATCATATCGTTCAGCTGTAGCACCCTTTCGGTGCCTAACTGCCATGCCACCCGGAGGTCACACGAGGGCTGGGATACTGCCAGGTTGCCCAAGCCTAGACAGGGGAAGTAGAGAGGCGGAGGTCGGGTTCGAACCACGAACCTTCCGGTCGGTAACTTCGCGCCCTAACCACTTGGTCCATCTTGGTCCATCCAAGAAAAAAATAATAAAGCTATATTGAGTATGCAGTAATAAAGAGGTCAGGTGGAACAGACTCGCTAAGAATTTGTTCTCTTTAAAATAGGCCCAGGTCAGCGAACAAACAATAATCCAGTCATGGTTGTCCAGAGGTCCTTTTCTGAACGGCTAGAGTTAGCACATGAGACTCGCGAATGACCGTTGTGAGCGCAAGCGAAATCAGAATAGATAATCGGAGCACGTGACCACGTTTATATCGCGTGAAATTGTACAGGTGCGCGTTTTTTGTAGTTTTTTTCGTATTCAAACAAAAAAATCGATTATACAAATGACGAAATGCGTAATGCTATAATGGAAGCAATGGAAAGATACAAAACACCATATCCGTGATCTTCTTGCATGCCTAACGCTCAAATTAGTCATGTCTTGAGTGTGCTAGCATGTAGGTGTTCATGAATCCCTCCTTACCGTTTATCCTGTGTAATGTTTGCTACAATCCTTGTATTGACTCTAATAAATGACGTTGTGCTTCATTACTGGATCCAGTTTTTCTGTTTGCTTTTGAAAGGCACTCATCGATTCATTGGTCAACGTTGCATTGCGTCCCCATAAAAGTTTTGTTTCATTTCAGGAAGGTATTTCAAGTATGGTGTGGGATTCACACCCCTCTGGTGAAAGACCACGTGCATCCGTTTCTCCCTAATTCTGAGCTTTCTGATGTGCCACGATCAGCCTGAAAAGTATCCTTGTGTTACTCGGATTCCGACAGTTCAGGTGGCCTCTGTGGTACCTCAGGACTCGGTCTGTAAACCTCATTTCATGGCCGCCCATTCTAGTATGATATATTAATGAGACCGTCCAGAACGCCAGTTTTTTGTTTATTTTTTCTCACGGTGATTTATTACCGATTATTTTATGTGGGATGAGAGGTCTCATCGACCTACGGTTCTACAGTTAGGGAGTGAGCGATACCATTCGCCCTGGCGTTTGCCTGCTTGATCTATTTGTTATCCAAGCGCTTGTGATCAGTAGCCTCGCCCGCGCTACGCAAGACGTCAGTGTGCGTGGTCAACCATGAAACAAAACATGACATCGTGATGTCGGCAGGGTCACTGAAATCCCCATTGTGATTGCCTGTCTTCAGTTCACTATGCACTCGCCATTTCCAGGCCAATCGTCTCAGTTTGCGCGAAATGCCATCTCAGTCCGCTTAAGCCGTGCCCAAGATCTAGGCCACGTGCTATGCTAGCTCAATATTGGCCAGTTCGGCTCGAAATAATACAAAGGTTTATGTCTCAACTTATATTTAACACAAGGATTATCTGGTACTACGTAATACCAACTAACTTTCTGTTACAATGACATTGGCCAAGGACTGTTTATACTCCTCACAATCAGATAGATTATTTTTTCAACGGGTTTTAATCATCCGACAATTTTGCGCCGGGTGACCCAAAAAACAAATCTACTCGGGTCTATAAGTTGTGTTGGGCTTGCAGGTATGGTTTTTCCACCTCCACCGGAAGGTCCACGTACCGTATTGCACATTCATCGACAATGCTGGATGCGACAAGAGCCGGTGGTTTGCACACCCTTTTGAACTCGAATGTTTGATGCTGCACTTACATGCAAAAGTGATGAAGGACACTGCATCAAATTGCCCTGTAAAGCCTTGTACTTGCGAAATATCCATACGTTGCAGTAATCCGTTAATTTTCAGTCCTTCAGAAACGCTTGCGAGCACCTCTTGCACTCAGCAAGAAGCCTTTACGAGTGCAGCGACAGTGGGACTTCTTTCGTCGCCATGGCCTTCAGCCCAACATCTACAAGCATAACGCGTTCTCACTGCGTCCACAATGTACCTGCAATTTTGTTCCCTCTCTAGATCCAGAAAACGTGTCAGTTCTTGCCTGGAAGTGTGCTTCCCTCACGGAGTCTCGCGCCTACTGACAGCATACCACGGCGATACGCTGCCTAGCAGGCATCTAACCTCTATAAGCAGCTCGCTTTACGCTTCAGTTCAAAAGGTGGGCGATTCAAAATCACACATTTCCATACCGCTTTTGTGGTTTAGCTGTCGTACTATGTACTTTACATTCCAGGACCAGTTCCCCGAACGCCATACCCGATACAATATCACAATACCTGTTTGATCTCATTTTCAGTGAGCTGATCATATCTTGTCCTAACCAAGTTATACCCCAGGGAATTTTAAGTGAAGTCACTTATCGCTGCTGAAGCTACACATGAAGTTGGATGGTTTAGATACCGTCGGCGGCTCAGAACCAATTGCTCATTGTCTCAGGATGGACTAGACAAATTTTGAAAGGAAGGACCGTGGTATGCGCGCATGGAAGGCATTGACTCGACTCCTGCCGACCAGTTTCGCAAGGGTAAAAAGCTGTACAGATAGGTCCCACAGATATCAAGGAGTACGCAATGAACATATCCACGCGCAAGGTGACTCCAAGACTCATTGTAATTCTCAACTGGCGTGGGAAAAGGGAAACCTGGCCTATATCTCAACTTGGCTGGTGAAATATCTTTGTAAATACCTAATTGTTAATTAACAAAGCCGAAAAGCACTGTACAGCTGTTTCATCCTTATTGGGAATCATCAGCAGTGCGCATCTCACGAAACTCCGAAGAGTCTCGAACCCGCACTTAACGTCTGACAATCCGAGGAAACCCTCTACCCTTGACCGGAAAATGAACCACAAACCATTCTAAAAATTTGCTGATGGCTTGCAGGAAGAAGCGCTCAAAAGATATTCCGTAAAATCTTACGCCACTTATCAGTCGAGTTTGAAGTTGGATCTACATTTTTCCATCAAAGCCAGTAATAAGCCGTGCAAAGGCGTACCTATATTTGGGTCCGGGCGATACTGATACATGTTGGTTAGATAATTTTGGATACTATCCCGATGATAATTTAAATGCTTCCAAAGGCCTAATCTGGCAGACCGGACGAAACTCTCCAAGACCAAACTGAATGGTGAACGTTGCTTCGTTTCTGCACGAATTGTGCATGTGGGCGCAAATTTGCGATACATGTGTCCGGAAATTCTCGCACCCGTGTTTGAACTGGGAGCGGAATCTTGTCACATTTCCACCGCATGTTCGCATCCGGTCGGAAAATTCGGAGGGTGAAAAAGTCTGCTGCTGGACGGAGATATGCTGAGCATGGCTGTGAGTGCGGTTCATTCGAAAAATGAGCACTGACGATAATAGAAAATCGAGCTATCTATGCTACCGGACAGCTAAGGATCTCACAGAAAGTTTGGAGCTAACGGACGATATAAGGTTTGTATTCAGTGGTTGGAGATGCTGTATTAAGAAATGTCGAGATCTGGTTTCGTTGACAAACTTGTTTTTAAACATCGCGAAATAAGCCATACGTACAAGCGATAAAATCGAAACCGGTAGGATCAGAAAAGTGGTCAGTGAATCACTAGTGCTTGTACCAAATGATACACTAACGTACAGATACAGGCAGTCGGACAGTGTCATTTGGCCGTATGCAGAGACGATAGCGCGGAAGACAGTCACCACGTTCAGAAGGTATGCAACTGCCTTCTGCTGACGGCGCGATTCACGTGCCAACTCGGATGATGTGCTTGGGCCCGTTCAAAACAAATCTCAACAAAGGCCATCTGGCAGATACTGCATAAAGGTAATGAAAAAAATAGGGCTTCTCGAGATATCGAGTTGGTGTAGCTGATAACAAGCTTGCATACCATCAACTGAGCTCTGAGTTCGTCTGGCCCGTTTTCCGCCAGAGCGGAAACTTGTAATTAGGTACAGCTAACACGAACTTGCAAGCAAAAACGAACGAGCAATAAAGGATTTACATCAGTTGCTAGGGGGAGAGCAGACCCTAAACAGGTGCGAGTACCCAGGAAACATGCAACAAAGAAGCGAAGCGGCGTTACAATAAAGTGGCGTAAATTACGCTATTTACGAGTTGTAATAAAATGGAATACAAACAACTGCTTTTTATCGTTGGTTTACACGCGAGTTGGACAGATATTCTCAACACAAAGCAAACTTTGCGCCAAATTTCCATGAACCTATCCATCAATAGGTTTAACTGGGCACGGTGAATTGTGCGAAATGTGATTGAGTGAAATTTGCGTCGGTTATCATGTACAAGCACATGATGCGTTATAAATCTCAAACGTTGTAGATGTCGCCTTATTAGTACATCGGGAGTAATACACTAGCTGGCACTATTTGGTGATCTTGAAGATTCACTTATTTAACCAAACACTCACGTGCAACATACCGCTGCAACACAAACATGCACTAGGGTGGCGCCTTATAAATTTCTGCAGCTCAAACATTCTGGAGCTCCGGCGAACTCAGTTTCGGTTTGTTTTTAGTGTTCGTCCTTGATGACTGTTCCAGCATTCGTGTCTCTTTTGGGGCTCTGTGCGCACTCAAGATTTTCCATTCTACAGTTTCAGGTCGGCATGTTTATCACGTACGTTGCTTCGGTTTTAGCGAACTCCTGCGCGAATCATTTTATTGGGTGGCTTTTCGTGCATTTCGGACGCTTTGTGACCTTACCGCTTCGGCGTGTTAATAACGGTGAGCTCCATTTGTATGGACCGTGATGCAAAAGCGACTGTCAAACACTATACGCTTTGATGTCGGCACCACTTCGCTTTGCGCCGCAGTACTGTATCGAATCAGATACTATACGGTAAATTATAGGAGATCCCTGCTCGATTTGCTAGACAAGGCATGCGTTTCACGTTTCTAGGACAGAAATTTGCCGGACAACTAGTTTAGCTGGGACCCTCAAAATCCACAAACGCCAAATCACATAGGCTTGGATCAAGGTCAGACGGAGCCCTTAGAAAGCG